ACTTAGCCGCTGTGCTGCTCACATACCACGGGGGCCCCCACAAACAATGGTGGGATGGAAAGCCAAGCACCACAGTTGTTGCAGCCGTGCCAGGGGTGGAGGTCTCCCCATGACTCCGCCCCAGCCACGCCTACAACGGAAAGTACAGGCTGCATCAATTGTGGGTGGAGCAAATTTAGGATACTGGAGCAGAACGGGCGATTTATTTCCATTCTACATCGCCGACTAATACAGAGTACTGTTGTTGCTTTATATATACAGGCGGACCTCGGGGTACCAACGCCTCGCTCCACGAAGGAAAGTCCACTGAAAACAACGCCTCGCTCCACGAAGGAAAGTCCACTGAAAACAACGCCTTGCTTTACCAAAGCTTTATGGATTTGTTTCACAATACAAAGTGTATGTCAGCGATGATTTTTAAATACAAATCTCGGCTTTTTTTTTTATTATAACTCCCAGAATCAGCTGAAACTTTTGATCTGGGGAAACAAACTAAAAGGAAACATTGTTTCAGGGAAACAAACTAAAAGGAAACATCGTTTCAGGGAAACAAACTAAAAGGAAACATCGTTTCAGGGAAACAAACTAAAAGGAAACATCGTTTCAGGGAAACAAACTAAAAGGAAACATTGTTTTCAGGGAAACTAAAAGGAAACATTGTTTCAGGGAAACAAACTAAAAGGAAACATCGTTTCAGGGAAACAAACTAAAAGGAAACATTGTTTCAGGGAAACTAAAAGGAAACATTGTTTCAGGGGAAAACTAAAAGGAAACATTGTTTCAGGGGAAAACTAAAAGGAAACATTGTTTCAGGGAAACTAAAAGGAAACATTGTTTCAGGGAAACTAAAAGGAAACATTCTTTCAGGGAAACTAAAAGGAAACATTCTTTCAGGGAAACTAAAAGGAAACATTGTTTCAGGGAAACTAAAAGGAAACATTGTTTCAGGGAAACTAAAAGGAAACATTGTTTCAGGGAAACTAAAAGGAAACATTGTTTCAGGGAAACTAAAAGGAAACATTGTTTCAGGGAAACTAAAAGGAAACATTGTTTCAGGGAAACTAAAAGGAAACATTGTTTCAGGGGAAAACTAAAAGGAAACATCGTTTCAGGGAAACAAACTAAAAGGAAACATTGTTTCAGGGGAAAACTAAAAGGAAACATTGTTTCAGGGAAACAAACTAAAAGGAAACATTGTTTCAGGGGAAAACTAAAAGGAAACATTGTTTCAGGGAAACAAACTAAAAGGAAACATTGTTTCAGGGAAACTAAAAGGAAACATTGTTTCAGGGAAACTAAAAGGAAACATTGTTTCAGGGAAACTAAAAGGAAACATTGTTTCAGGGAAACTAAAAGGAAACATTGTTTCAGGGAAACAAACTAAAAGGAAACATTGTTTCTTTTATGTGGGGAAAGTGAAGCCATTCTCTGAGCGAAGTGAAGACAACAAAAGTGCTACTGACATATAATCCGGCACTGACCTATAGTGACAGAGGATTTTACTTTTTTCTGACCTCCGGAACGGATTAATTGGTTTAGGAATTATTTTTTGCTCACGTTCCTGACAGTATTTATGCCTTTGAAGTGCACTTTATAAAGCGTTTTGAACAGATAAGACTTTATTTGACTTTTTTCTGATTTTCTGACCTCCAGAACAGAATTGGTTTTCAATGCATTCCTATGGGAAACCGCGTTTGGGTGTACAAATTTTCCACAATACGAAACGTCCCGCAGAACGAATTAAATTCGTAAACCGAGGTACGCCTGTATGTGTTTTACATTCGTTAACCACTTCCCGTCCGGTCGTTGTATATAAACGGCCAGATGGAGGCAGTGCAGGGGCGGGTGGACGTTCAGAAATGGCCTTCCCGCCCCCTGCTTGTGCGCACTCCCTGGGAGTGCGCAGCACTGCGATCTGATGCCTGCTATATCCTCCGGACACAGTGGAACACCAATCGTCGTACGGGAACTCTGTGTGAGGGCAGGAATGCAGCCAGAGAGAAGGAGAAATGATTGCTTTTATATAGACTTTATGGGTGGAAAAGCAATCAGGGTAAAAAAAAAAAATAATCACCCTCCACATGTAGTTTACAGTGTCACCATGGTGACCCCACACTGCTAGGGTGGCTGTATGTAAAAAAAAACACAAAAAAAAAAACAACATACATTAATAATATAAAAAAAAATAAAAATGTAAAAAAAGTTTAAAAATTATAATTTTTGGTTATAAACAAATTTGGGTTATTTTTTTCTTTTTTAGTAAAAAGATAAACGGAATACATTTTGGCCAAGATTTGATGATTATATTTATGTGCAAGATTTTATAAGGGAAAAACACTTTTTTTTTTAAATTTTGGACTTTCATTTATATAGCAAAAACAAATAAAATCCCAGCGGTGATTAAATACCACCAAAATAAAGGTTTATCTGTCTCAAAAAAATATGCTAAAAAATTCATATGGGTACAGTGTTGGCATGACCGCGCAATTGTCATTCACAGTGTGATAGCGCTGAAAGCTGGGAAATTGGCCTGTGGGGGGTGGGGGGGTGAAGTGTCCGGACTGGAAGGGGGGTGGGGGTGGAAGGCGTCCGGACCGGAAGGGGGGGAAGGGGGGGGGGGGGAAAGCGTCCGGACCGGAAGGGGGGGGGGGGTGGAAAGCGTCCGGACCGGAAAAGGGCGAGGGGGGGGGGGTGAAGGCGCCCGGACCGGAAGGGGAGGGGGGGTGAAGGCGCCCGGGACGCAAAAGGGGGGGGGGTGAAGGGCGCCGGACCGATATAAAGGGGGGGGGTGTGAAGGCGCCCGGACCGGAAGGGGGGGAAGGCGCCCGGACCGGAAAGGGGGGGAAGGCGATCCCGGACCGGAAGGGGGGGTAGGCCGCCCGGATCCGGAAGGGGGGAAGGCGTCCTGGAACGGAAGGGGGGGGGGGGGGGGAAGGCGTCCCGGACCGGATGGGTGGGGGGGGGGGGGAAGGCTGTCCGGACCGGAAGGGGGTGGGGGGAGGAAGGCGTCCGGACCGGAAAAGGGGGGGGGGGGAAGCGTCCCCCCCCCCCCCGTTCCCCCCGCCCCCTCCCCCCCCCCCCCTCCCCCTCTGGACGGAGGGGGGGGGGGGGGGGAAGCGATCCGGACGGAAAGGGGTGGGGGGGAAAGCGTTCGGGGGGGGGGGAAGCAGTCCGGAGCCGGAAAGGGGGGCGGGGGGGGAAGAGTTCCGGACCGGTAGGGGGGGGGGGGGGAGCGTGCCGGTTAACCGATACAGGGAAGCCGGGAATTGCGTCCGGACCGGAAGGGGGGGGGGGGGGAAGCGTCCAGGGGACCGGAAGGGGGGTGGGGGGGGGGGGGAAAGCGTTTTCCTGCCCAGACCGGAAGGGGGACGGGGGGGGGGAAGACGTACCGGACCGGCAAGAGAGGGGGGGGGGAGGAAGCGTGTCCGGACCGGGAAGAGGGGGGGGGGGGGAGGGGAAGCCGTCCGGACCGGAAGGGGGGGGGGGGGGAAGCGTGTCCGGACTGGAAAGGCGAGAGAGAGAGAGCGACGGGGAAGCGTCCGGGACCGGAAAGAGGGGGGGAAGGGGGAAGCAGTCCGGAGACTGGGAAGGGCGGGGGGTGTGGCGGAAGCGGTCCGGACTGGAAGCGGGGGGGGGGGGAAGCGGTCCGTCGGACTGGGAAGGCATGTGGGCGGTGGGGAAGCTGTCAGGACTGGAAAGGGGAGGGGGGGGATGGAAGGGGGGGGGCACGGTGAAGTGTCCGGACTGGAACGGGGGTGGGGATGCGTGGGGAGAGTGTCGGAGACTGGAAAGGGGGGGGGGGGGGAGGGAGTGTCCGGACTGGAAAGGGGGGGGGGGGGAGTGTTCCGGACTGGTAAGGGGTGGGGGGGGGGGAGTGTCCGGAAATGGAAAGGTGGGGGGGGGGGTAGTTGTCCTGGACCGGAAAGGGGGGTGGGGGGGAAGTCGTCCGGACCGGAAAGGGGGGGGGGGGGGAAGCGTCCTGACCGGAAGGGGGGGGGGGGGAGGAGCGTTCCGGGCTACGAGACGCGGAAGGGGGCGGGGAGGGGGGGGGGGAAAGGAGGAAGCGTCCGGACCCGGAAGGAGGGGGAGGGGGAATGCGTCCGGGGACCGGAAGGGGGGGGGGGGAAGCTGTCCGGACAGGAAGAGGGGTGGGGGGGGGAAGCGGTCCTGGGACCGGAGGGGGAGGGGGGGGGCATAGCGTCTCCGGACCGGGAAGGGGGGGGCGGGGGGGGAAGCGTTTCCGGACTCGGAAGAGGGGGGGGGGGGTGAAGCGTCCGGACTGGAAGGGAGGGGGGGGAGGAAGAGCCGTCCGGAATGGAAGGGGGAAGGGGGGGGCGGGAAGCGTCCGGACTGGAAGGGGGGGGGGGGATGGGGAAGCGTCAGGACTGGAAGGGGGGGCGGGGGCGAAGTAGGAAGCGTCCGGACTTGGAAAGGGGGGGGGGGAGCGTCCGGACTGGAAAGGGGGGGGGGGGGGGGAGTGATCCGGGACTGGAAAGGGGGAGGGGGGGAGGGGTGTGGGGAGTGTCCGGTCTGGAAAGGGGGGGGGGGGGGAGAAGTTGACGGACTGGAAAGGGGTGGGGGGGGGGTGCGGGAGTGTGTCCGTGACTGGAAAAAGGGGGGGGGGGGGTGTACGGGACTGGAAGGGGGGGGGGTGGGGGGGGAGTGTCCGGACTGAGAAAGGTGGGGGGGCGGTGGTAGTGTCCGGACTGGAAGGGGGGAATAATTTTACATTGAGGGGCCCCACTCCACCTTCAAGGGAGTTTACTGTCAATGGTCCCTAATTCTCACAGACGTAGAGCCAATTACCCCCCCAGCATGTCTGGAGTGTGGGAGGAAACCCATTGCAGGCACAGGGAGTAACATGCAAACTCCAGGCAGGTAGTAGTGTGGTTGGGAGAACTGGAAGTCCCAGCCTACCCAGCAGATCATTCCTGCATCCCTCCAGAGGGTGACACCATGACAGCGCCCTCTATCAGGTGAGTAGGTTGTCACAGGCGGACGTTCTCCGGATCTCAGGATTGGTTCCTCACCTCTTCTTCTGCTGCACGTTTCAACAGGATGTCCATCTGATTCGCTCTCCTCGCCTTCCTCCTCCTCTCTCCTCCTCCTTCGTCTCCTTCTCTACTGGAAAGAGGAAAGAGCGAGGTGTGACCATCCCACCAATCACAGGAGAACATCTTAATAAAGCAGCAATGGGCAAACTACGGCCCGCGGAGCCGTGATACATTGGCTGTCAGGATGTAGGCGGGGCAGCCAAGGATGTAGGCGGGGCCAGCGTTGACGAACTCCTCTCCTCTCACAGTCCGCCCCTGAAGACCGGAACGGCGCGCGGGGAACACGGCGAGAGGAGGATACGACGTGCGGAGCAAAGGTAAGTGAATTGACACAATATGGGGATGCATTACTTATGGGGGATGAATTACTATAGGGGGGATGAATTACTATATGGGGGATGGATTACTATATGGGGGATGGATTACTATAGGGGGGATGAATTACTATATGGGGGATGAATTACTATAGGGGGGATGGATTACTATAGGGGGGATGGATTACTATTATGGGGGATGAATTACTATATGGGGGATGAATTACTATAGGGGGGCATTATGGATGGATTACTATAGGGGGGGATGGATTACTATAGGGGGATGAATTACTATATGGGGGATGAAATTACTATGGGGGATGAATTACTATGGGGATGAATTACTATGGGGGGGATGAATTACTATGGGGGATGAATTACTATTATGGGGGATGAATTACTATATGGGGGATGAATTACTATATGGGGGATGGAATTACTATATGGGGGGATGAATTACTATATGGGGGATGGATTACTATAGGGGGGATGGGGCATCATTACTATGGGTCCAGCCCCGGGTCCAATATATGAACCCATTGCGGCCCTGAAGTCAAAAAGTTTGCCCACCCCTGCAATAAAGGGACAAAGCAGAACCATTGTGTGAAAGGATCGGCCCAGTGCAGGGCTATGATAGGTCCATTATGTGCTGGGGACGGAAGCTTCCATCAGAGCCTTTCACACAGATAGTTTTGCTTTGTGACAGATTTCCTTCACATACAAAGAACACAAAGTTACCTTCATCATCCTCCTCCTCCTCAGCATCCTCGGGGGCCTCTTCCTTGTTTTCTGCGCCATTCTCCTCCTGGAAAGGAAGAAATGTTTACTGATCTGTGTGCCTGAGAGCTCCTCTCCAAGTCTCTTTCTACTACAGACACCCGAGTGTCACACACACCTTCACCCACCACAGAAAGAAGACAACTGAAGTCACACTACACCCGGGGAGAGAGAGGAGCCAGAGAGGGGGCCCGGACGGAGAGGAGAGAGGAGCCAGAGAGGGGGCCCGGACGGAGAGGAGAGAGGAGCCAGAGAGGGGGCCCGGACGGAGAGGAGAGAGGAGGGGCAGAGAGGGGGCCCGGACGGAGAGAGGAGCCAGAGAGGGGGCAGTCACCGGACGGAGAGGAGCCAGAGAGGGGGCCCGGACGGAGAGGAGCCAGAGAGGGGGCCCGGACGGAGAGGAGCCAGAGAGGGGGGCCCGGGACGGAGAGGAGCCAGAGAGGGGGGCCAGAGAGGGGGCCCCGGACGGAGAGGAGAGAGGAGCCAGAGAGGGGGCCCGGACGGAGAGGAGAGAGGAGCCAGAGAGGGGGCGGGGGCCCGGACGGAGAGAGGAGAGAGGGAGCCAGAGAGGGGGCCCGGACGGAGAGGAGAGAGGAGCCAGAGAGGGGGCCCGGACGGAGAGGAGAGAGGAGCCAGAGAGGGGGTGCCGGACGGAGAGGAGCCAGAGAGGGGGCCCGGACGGAGAGGAGCCAGAGAGGGGGCCCGGACGGAGAGGAGAGAGGAGCCAGAGAGGGGGCCCGGACGGAGAGGAGAGAGGAGCCTGAGAGGGGGCCCGGACGGAGAGGAGAGAGAAGCCGGGATTGTCAGACAGTGATCTCCGCCATTCATCTCTATGTGATCCAACAACTGACCTGTCCCTTCACCAGAGCGGTAAGTACCCCCAGACATCACACACAGAGGAGCGGTAAGGACTATGGTCACATGACACCGGACTATGGTCACATGACACCGGACTATGGTCACATGACACGCAGGAAACACAATGGAGGAACACATTCACCTCTGTATCTATAAGATTGTGGACAAATGAATATTCCCACTTCCATCACAGACAGTACATCTAGCAATGAGCTCACAATCTCAGCCGCCCCCCACTAATGTAAACACACAGCAGGCGATGGCATCAGAAAGGACTGTGTGGCCTTTGTTGTGATCTGTGAGGAGGAGTACCATCATACTGCCGGCATCTACATAGGTTGGGTGGCTGGCTTCCCATCCTCCATATTCTGGCTGGAAATATTTTATTGAAATAAAATCTTGTAACCAGCTTTCATTTTATACAAAAAATACAAAAAATAAATAAATACATACAGTATTCAATAAACTGGAAACAAACAAAAACAAGAACAGGACACATCTCCCTAAATCAGATATATACTTTCTACTGAATAATAACAGCCTGTATGGCTTTACTAACTGGGCAGGTAAGAAGCAGAAAAACAAAGTAAAAAAAACATCACCAAGACCCTTATGGCCACTTATCAAGCATTAAATTCATCCTCCCCTTGTAGGGGAAGCAACTTCCTCTAAACAACAACAGCCTTTATGGCTTTAAAAAAAACACGACTTGTCTACTCAACCAAAGTGAAGGAACCCGGACCTTCAGGGGCACAGAGCCTTTCTTCAAAAAGACTTCTTACCAAAATCTAGGGGAGTGAATGAAGAGGGAAAACAGGAAAGCAACCTCACCAAGAGATCAACAGATCGCAGCTACAGGTCTGATGTTCCTCCACGCCTCTATCCAGGTCCTCTGCCGCAACCCGTCTTTCTCTAGACCCCGAATTTTCCCAACCTCACCAAGGATGTCACACACCACCACCTGAACAGGAAGGACTTTCTCCATATTCTGGCTGGAAGGGCCCTGTAAGGACTACACTTAGCAGCGCCCTCCCCAGTGTACATAAATAGGGTCACTCACGGTTCCGTTCTCCGGTGCCTTCTTCCCGTTCTCCGGCACCTTGTTCTTGTTCTCTGGCACCTTGTTCTCCGGCGCCTTGTTCTTGTTCTCCGGCACCTTGTTCTCCGGCGCCTTGTTCTTGTTCTCCGGCGCCTTGTTCTTGTTCTCCGGCGCCTTGTTCTTGTTCTCCGGCGCCTTGTTCTTGTTCTCCTTCTTCTCCGCTTCCTCTACCACTTCCTTCTTCTCCTTCAGATCCTGGAACCAAGAAAACAATCGAATCAATAAACAATGTGTGCAATCGTGCCAACAGAACGACGTATATACCCCCACAGACCGAACGACGTATATACCCCCACAGACACAACGACGTATATACCCCCACAGACACAACGACGTATATACCCCCACAGACCCGAACGACGTATATACCCCACAGACCGAAACGACGTATATACCCCCACAGACACAACGAAGTATATACCCCCACAGACACAACGAAGTATATACCCCCACAGACCGAATGACGTATATACCCCCACAGACACAACGACGTATATACCCCCACAGACCGAACGACGTATATACACCCACAGACCGAACGACGTATATACCCCCACAGACACAACGACGTATATACCCCCACAGACACAACGACGTATATACCCCCACAGACACAACGACGTATATACCCCCACAGACCGAACGACGTATATACCCCCACAGACACAAACGACGTATATACCCCCGCAGCCGAACGACGTTATATACCCCACAGACGAACGACGTATATACACCCACAGACCGACGTATATACCCCTACAGAACGATGTATACTCCTCTACAGAACCATGTGTACTCCTCTACAGAACCATGTGTACTCCTCTACAGAACCATGTGTACTCCTCTACAGAACCATGTGTACTCCTCTACAGAACCATGTGTACTCCTCTACAGAACCATGTGTACTCCTCTACAGAACCATGTGTACTCCTCTACAGAACCATGTGTACTCCTCTACAGAACCATGTGTACTCCTCTCTAACTAATTCTGATCAATGAGTAGATCGGACGGTGCTCGGGGCAGATCGGAGGGGTGTGGGGCAGATCGGACGGTGCGGGGCAGATCGGACGGTGCGGGGCAGGTCGGACGGTGCGGGGCAGGTCGGACGGTGCGGGGCAGGTCGGAGGGTGTGGGGCAGATCGGAGGGTGTGGGGCAGGTCGGAGGGTGCGGGGCAGGTCGGAGGGTGCGGGGCAGGTCGGAGGGTGCGGGGCAGGTCGGAGGGTGCGGGGCAGGTCGGAGGGTGCGGGGCAGGTCGGAGGGTGCGGGGCAGGTCGGACGGTGCGGGGCAGGTCGGACGGTGCGGGGCAGGTCGGACGGTGCGGGGCAGGTCGGACGGTTGCGGGGCAGGTCGGAGGGTGCGGGGGCAGGTCGGAGGGTGCGGGGCAGGTCGGAGGGTGCGGGGCAGGTCGGAGGGTGCGGGGGGCAGGTCGGAGGGTGCGGGGCAGGTCGGAGGGTGCGGGGCAGGTCGGAGGGTGCGGGGCAGGTCGGAGGGTGCGGGGCAGGTCGGAGGGTGCGGGGCAGGTCGGACGGTGCGGGGCAGGTCGGACGGTGCGGGGGCAGGTCGGACGGTGCGCGGGGCAGGTCGGACGGTGCGGGGCAGGTCGGACGGTGCGGGGCAGGTCGGAGGGTGCGGGGCAGGTCGGAGGGTGCGGGGCAGGTCGGAGGGTGCGGGGCAGGTCGGAGGGTGCGCGGGTCGGAGGGTGCGGGTCAGAGGGTGTGGGGCAGATCGGACGGTGCGGGGCAGGTCGGAGGGTGTGGGGCAGATCGGACGGTGCGGTGCAGGTCGGAGGGGTGCGGGTCGGAGGGTGTGGGGGCAGATCGGAGGGTGTGGGGCAGATCGGAGGGTGCGGGGCAGGTCGGACGGTGCGGGGCAGGTCGGAGGGTGCGGGGCAGGTCGGACGGTGCGGTGCAGGTCGGAGGGTGCGGGTCGGAGGGTGTGGGGCAGATCGGAGGGTGTGGGGCAGATCGGAGGGTGCGGGGCAGATCGGACGGTGCGGGGCAGGTCGGAGGGTGCGGGGCAGGTCGGAGGGTGCGGGGCAGGTCGGACGGTGCGGGGCAGGTCGGAGGGTGTGGGTCGGAGGGTGTGGGGCAGATCGGAGGGTGTGGGGCAGGTCGGAGGGTGTGGGGGCAGGTCGGACGGTGCGGGGCAGGTCGGACGGTGCGGGGCAGGTCGGACGGTGCGGGGCAGGTCGGAGGGTGTGGGTCGGAGGGTGTGGGGCAGATCGGAGGGTGTGGGGCAGGTCGGAGGGTGTGGGGCAGGTCGGACGGTGCGGGGCAGGTCGGACGGTGCGGGGCAGGTCGGACGGTGCGGGGCAGGTCGGACGGTGCGGGGCAGGTCGGACGGTGCGGGGCAGGTCGGACGGTGCGGGGCAGGTCGGACGGTGCTGGTCGGAGGGTGTGGGCAGATCGGAGGGTGTGGGGCAGGTCGGAGGGTGCGGGGCAGGTCGGAGGGTGCGGGGCAGGTCGGAGGGTGCGGGGCAGGTCGGAGGGTGCGGGGCAGGTCGGAGGGTGCGGGGCAGGTCGGACGGTGCGGGGCAGGTCGGACGGTGCGGGGCAGGTCGGAGGGTGCGGGGCAGGTCGGAGGGTGCGGGGCAGGTCGGAGGGTGCGGGGCAGGTCGGAGGGTGCGGGTCGGAGGGTGCGGGTCAGAGGGTGTGGGGCAGATCGGACGGTGCGGGGCAGGTCGGAGGGTTGTGGGGCAGATCGGACGGTGCGGTGCAGGTCGGAGGGTGCGGGTCGGAGGGTGTGTGGGCAGATCGGAGGGTGTGGGGCAGATCGGAGGGTGCGGGGCAGGTCGGACGGTGCGGGGCAGGTCGGAGGGTGCGGGGCAGGTCGGACGGGTGCGGTGCAGGTCGGAGGGTGCGGGTCGGAGGGTGTGGGGCAGATCGGAGGGTGTGGGGCAGATCGGAGGGTGCGGGGCAGATCGGAGGGTGCGGGGCAGGATCGGAGGGTGCGGGGCAGGTCGGAGGGTGCGGGGCAGGTCGGAGGGTGCGGGGCAGGTCGGAGGGTGCGGGGCAGGTCGGAGGGTGCGGGGCAGGTCGGAGGGTGCGGGGCAGGTCGGACGGTGCGGGGCAGGTCGGAGGGTGCGGGGCAGGTCGGACGGTGCGGGGCAGGTCGGACGGTGCGGGGCAGGTCGGACGGTGCGGGGCAGGTCGGACGGTGCGGGGCAGGTCGGACGGTGCGGGGCAGGTCGGACGGTGACGGTGCGGGGCAGGTCGGAGGGTGCGGGGCAGGTCGGACGGTGCGGGGCAGGTCGGACGGTGCGGGGCAGGTCGGACGGTGCGGGGCAGGTCGGACGGTGCTGGTCGGAGGGTGTGGGGGCAGATCGGAGGGTGTGGGGCAGGTCGGAGGGTGCGGGGCAGGTCGGAGGGTGCGGGGCAGGTCGGAGGGTGCGGGGCAGGTCGGAGGGTGCGGGGCAGGTCGGAGGGTGCGGGGCAGGTCGGAGGGTGCGGGGCAGATCGGAGGGTGCGGGGCAGATCGGACGGTGCGGGGCAGGTCGGAGGGTGCGGGGCAGATCGGAGGGTGTGGGGCAGATCGGACGGTGCGGGGCGGGTCGGAGGGTGTGGGGCAGATCGGAGGGTGTGGGGGCAGATCGGAGGGTGCGGGGCAGGTCGGAGGGTTGTGCGGGGCAGATCGGAGGGTGCGGGGCAGGTCGGGAGGGTGCGGGGCAGGTCGGAGGGTGCGGGGCAGGTCGGAGGGTGCGGGGCAGGTCGGAGGGTGCGGGGCAGGTCGGAGGGTGGGGGGCAGGTCGGAGGGTGGGGGGCAGGTCGGAGGGTGCGGGGCAGGTCGGAGGGTGTGGGGCAGATCGGACGGTGCGGGGCAGGTCGGAGGGTGCGGGGCAGATCGGAGGGTGTGGGGCAGATCGGACGGTGCGGGGCGGGTCGGAGGGTGTGGGGCAGGTCGGAGGGTGCGGGTTGGACGATTTACATTGCAGCACATAAACCATTCTTGTGGCCATAAACGAATCGCAGAGAACAGAGCTGGAGGGGCGGAGAGAGGAAGGGGAGGGAGGGGCGGAGAAGGGGCGGGGAGTACCTGAACATCTGCCACAGCGAGAGCGTGCACGCGCGCTCCCGTTCCTCCCCCTCCTGGGGCTACCGCGCGGAAAAACAAAGGTGGCCTCGCGCCCCGCGCCACCACCTGGCGGAGAAGTGAGTATGCGCGCGGCTGGAAGCGCGTTACCGCAAGAGAAGGGAATAGGAAAAAAAAGTGCTCCGCCCACTCCTTCCTCCCCCGGGCGCGCGCGCATCGCCCTTCCCGCCGTTTCCCTCCTCCATGTGTTTGATGTAGATAGGAATAGAACGGAGAGGGGGAGGGGAGAGAGAAGGGGGGGGGCACAGGTGGGGGAGGGGAGAGAGAAGGGGAGGAGGAGGAGGGGGGGACACAGGTGGGAGAGGGAACATCGCACCGTCATAAATCATGACACCAACACCGCACAGTATGGGGGGGGCGACATATATATATATATATATATATAAAAAACAACAGTATGGGGGGGGCACACACATATATATACAGCACAAATATTTCGGGGGCGACACATATATATATATATATATATATATATATATATATACACACTAACACCCCAGCACAGTAGTGGGGTGGCCAACACACACACATATATATATATATAAACATATATAATATATTTTATATATATATATATATATACACAGCACATGGGGGGAAACACACATATATATATTATAGTTATATAGTCACAGTACATGGGGGGGCCACAGCACATATAAATATACACACACACACAGCACAGTAATGGGGGGGCCACACACTCATATATACATATACAGCACATATATATATATATAAATATATATTATATATATATATACACAGCACAGTATGGGGGGGCCACATACTATATATATATATATATTATATATATATATATATATATAATAGCACAGTATGGGGGGGCCACATATATATATATATAGCACAGTATGGGGGGGGGGGGCCACACACATATATATATACAGCACAGTATGGGGGGGGCCACATATATATATACACAGCACAGTATGGGGGGGCCACACACACAGTATGGGGGGGCCACATATATATATATACAGCACAGTATGGGGGGGCCACATATATATATACATATATATATATATACAGCACAGTATGGGGGGGCACATACACATATACACTACAGCATATGGGGGGGCCATATATATATACAGCACAGTATGGGGGGGCCACACATATATATATATACAGCACAGTATGGGGGGGCCACATATATATAATATACAGCACAGTATGGGGGGGCCACATATACATATATAATATATATATATATATATTACAGCACAGTATGGGGGGGCCACATATATATATATACACAGCACAGTATGGGGGGGCCACATATATATATACACAGCACAGTATGGGGGGGGGCATATAACAGCACAGTATGGGGGGGGCCACATATATATATATAATACAGCACAGTATGGGGGGGGCCACATATATATATAACGCTATATATATACAGCACAGTATGGGGGGGGCCACATATATATATATACAGCACAGTATGGGGGGGCCACACATATACATATATAATATATATATATTACATACAGCCCAGTATAATATATAGCATACAGTATGGGGGGGGGGGCCACATATATATATATACAGCACAGTATGGGGGGGGCCACATATATATATATATACACAGCACAGTATGGGGGGGCCCACACATATATATATATACAGCACAGTATGGGGGGGCCACATATATATGGGGGCCACATATATACAGCACAGTATGGGGGGGCCACATATATATATATATATATACAGCACAGTATGGGGGGGGCCACATATATATACAGCACAGTATGGGGGGGGCCACATATATAGTATACAGCACCAGTATGGGGGGGCCACATATATATATACAGCAGCACAGTATGGGGGGGCCACATATATATAGCACAGTATGGGGGGGGGGTCCACATATATATATACATATATTATATACAGCACAGTATGGGGGGGGCATATATATATATACAGCACAGTATGGGGGGGGCCACATATATATACAGCACAGTATGGGGGGGGGCCACAGTATGGGGGGGGCCACATATATATATACAGCACAGTATGGGGGGGCCACATATATATATATACAGACACAGTATGGGGGGCCACATATATATAGCACACAGCACAGTATGGGGGGGGGGGGGGGGCGCACATATATATATATACAGCACAGTATGGGGGGGGGCCACATTACAATCTATACAGCACAGTATGGGGGGGCCACATATAACATATATACAGCACAGTATGGGGGGGGGCACATATATATATATACAGCACAGTATGGGGGGGGCCACATATATATATATACAGCACAGTATGGGGGGGGGCACACATATATATATATATATACAGCACAGTATGGGGGGGCCACATATATATATATATATACAGCACAGTATGGGGGGGGCACATATATATATATATATACAGCACAGTATGGGGGGGCCACATATATATATACAGCACAGTATGGGGGGGGCCACATATATATATACAGCACAGTATGGGGGGGGGGGGGGGCACATATATATATATATACAGCACAGTATGGGGGGGCACATATATATATATATACAGCACAGTATGGGGGGCCACATATATATATATACAGCACAGTATGGGGGGGGCCACATATATATATATACACAGCACAGTATGGGGGGGGCCACATATATATATATATACAGCACAGTATGGGGGGGCCACATATATATATATACATATTATACAGCACAGTATGGGGGGGGGGCCACATATATATATATACAGCACAGTATGGGGGGGGCCACATATATATATACAGCACAGTATGGGGGGGGGCCACATATACATATATACAGCACAGTATGGGGGGCCACATATATATATATACAGCACAGTATGGGGGGGCCACATATATATATACAGCACAGTATGGGGGGGCCACATATATATATATACAGCACAGTATGGGGGGGCCACATATATATATATACAGCACAGTATGGGGGGGCGATATGAGAGGTCCCTCCGCCCCGGTATAGGAGAGCGCCCGCCCCGGGGGGTACCGGACCCTTCGGTATGGGGGGGGGGATATACACTCTCCGGTATATGATCACCGAATGGATTTGCCCCGGGGAATGGGTACCGAACTCCTCCGCCCCGGAATATATCCCCCCCCCCCCCCCGGTGTGTGGATACCCCCCCCTGTCCCGGAGGGTTCGGCGTTCTACATGGAGAGTCCGCGGATCCCCGGAGGAGCCGAACCGTCCCGGCCGGAGATCCACCTCCGAACATCGGGGGGGTCTCTCCCCTCACACTCGGTCCCGGGGGGTCTCCTCTCACACTCGGTCCCGGGGGGGGGGGGTCTCTCTCTCCTCACACTCGGTCCCGGGGGGGTCTCCTCTCACACTCGGTCCCGGGGGGGGGGGGGTCTCTCCTCACACTCGGTCCCGGGGGGGGGGGGTCTCTCCTCACACTCGGTCCCGGGGGGGGGGGGGGGTCTCTCCTCACACTCGGTCCCGGGGGGGGGGGGGGGGGGGGGTCTCTCCTCACACTCGGTCCCGGGGGGGGGGGGGGGGTCTCTCCTCACACTCGGGTCCCGGGGGGGGGGGGGGGGTCTCTCCTCACACTCGGTCCCGGGGGGGGGGGGGTCTCTCTCCCTCACACTCGGTCCCGGGGGGGGGGTCTCTCTCCCCTCACACTCGGTCCCGGGGGGGGGGTCTCTCTCCCCTCACACTCGGTCCCGGGGGGGGGGGGGGTGGGGGTCTCTCTCCTCACACACTCGGTCCCGGGGGGGGGGGGGGTCTCTCTCCTCACACACTCGGTCCCGGGGGGGGGGGTCTCTCTCCCCTCACACTCGGTCCCGGGGGGGGGGGGGTCTCTCTCCCCTCACACTCGGTCCCGGGGGGGGGGTCTCTCTCCCCTCACACTCGGTCCCGGGGGGGGTCTCTCTCCTCACACTCGGTCCCGGGGGGGGGTCTCTCTCCTCACACTCGGTCCCCCGGGGGGGGGGGGGTCTCTCCCCTCACACTCGGTCCCGGGGGGGGGGGGGTCTCTCCCCTCACACTCGGTCCCGGGGGGGGGTCTCTCTCTCTCACACACTCGGTCCCGGGGGGGTCTCTCTCTCCTCACACTCGGTCCCGGGGGGGTCTCTCTCCTCACACACCTCGGTCCCGGGGGGGGGGGTCTCTCTCTCCTCACACTCGGTCCGGGGGGGGGGTCTCTCTCTCCTCACACACTCGGTCCCGGGGGGGGGGGGTCTCTCTCCTCACACACACTCGGTCCCGGGGGGGTCTCTCCCTCACACTCGGTCCCGGGGGGGGGGGGGTCTCTCTCCCCTCACACTCGGTCCGGGGGGGGGTCTCTCTCCTCACACACTCGGTCCCGGGGGGGTCTCTCTCCTCACACACTCGGTCCCGGTCCCGGGGGGGTCTCTCTCCTCACACACTCGGTCCCGGGGGGTCTCTCTCCTCACACACTCGGTCCCGGGGGGGTCTCTCTCCTCACACACTCGGTCCCGGGGGGGTCTCTCTCCTCACACACTCGGTCCCGGGGGGGTCCTCTCTCCTCACACACTCGGTCCCGGGGGGGTCTCTCTCCTCACACACTCGGTCCCGGGGGGGTCTCTCTCCTCACACACTCGGTCCCGGGGGGGTCTCTCTCCTCACACACACTCGGTCCCGGGGGGGGTCTCTCTCCTCACACTCGGTCCCGGGGGGGGGTCTCTCTCTCCTCACACTCGGTCCCGGGGGGGTCTCTCTCCTCACACTCGGTCCCGGGGGGGTCTCTCTCTCTCCTCACACTCGGTCCCGGGGGGGGGGGTCTCTCTCCTCTCACTCGGTCACCTCACACAATTCTCCCGGTTTCCCGCCTCTCTCACCTGACAGGAATCCCTCTCCTCCCGCCACCACAGAACAATGGGGGGTCCGGGGGGGGGGTGTCTCGGACTTACCTTGGCGGTGGGGACCTCGGCGGGGGCGGTGACAACCTCGGTATCGGCCATAGTTCCCGGCGCAGCGGAGAGAAGAATAGATGGCGGAGGAGGCGAAAGATAAAAATCCAACCGAGTGTGAGGAGAGGAATGAAACCTCCGGAGCGCCGAGAGAGAACTAAATACGAACTCCGGCGGGGCGGGGATATGCAGATATCGTCCCTTCTCATTGGCTGGCACAGGGCCCCTGCTCGGAGCCAGTTGGGGTAAATGGCCGTCTGTTAGGGCTCCTGGACCCGCCCCCGTGAAGTTGCCTTGGCGCTGCGAGCCCGATTGGTCAAAATGAAAAAGGGGATTCCCCGCCCCCCTGTGTTCCCGGAGTCCCTGTTCAGTTGGAAAGAGAGGAGATGCTCGGGGGCTCTGATTGGCTGAACGTTAGAGACCCGCCGCCCACTTGTCATCATCAGGAATTCAATAGGGATGGTTAGTGGCTGGTACCCCGAGCTCCCTCCTCCGCTCCTCATTGGCCGGTACCCCTGAGCTCCCTCCTCCGCTCCTCATTGGCCGTACCCCGAGCTCCCTCCTCCGCTCCTCATTGGCCGGTACCCCGAGCTCCCTCCTCCGCTCCTCATTGGCCGGTACCCCGAGATCCCTCCTCCGCTCCTCATTGCCCAGGTAGGGCTGCTGTTAGAAATCATGGGGCCCTGTACAGCCTACCTGATGGGCCCCCAAACCCCGCCTCTGACATCACACCCCTAAGGTGGGGAAAGAGGGTTGGGGAGGGAGGGTGAGAGGAAGAGATGAGAGTAATAGGGGGGTGAAAGAGAGAAGGGGGGGGGAGAGAAAGAGAGAGGGGGGGTGAGGGGATGAGAGAGAGTGAGAGGGGGGGGGATGAGAGAGGGGGGAGAGAGAGTGAGAGGGGGGGGATGAGAGAGAGGGGGAGAGAGAGTGAGAGGATGAGAGAGGGGGGAGAGAGAGAGTGAGGGGATGAGAGAAGGGGGGAGAGAGAGAGTGAGGGGATGAGAGAGGGGGGAGAGAGAGAGTGAGGGGATGAGAGAGGGGGAGAGAGAGAGAGTGAGGGGGATGAGAGAGGGGGGAGAGAGAGAGTGAGGGGATGGGAGAGAGGGGAGAGAGAGCGAGGGGGTGTGAGAGAGGGGGGGAGAGAGAGAGTGAGGGGATGAGAGAGGGGGGAGAGAGAGAGTGAGGGGATGAGAGAGGGGGGGAGAGAGAGAGTGAGGGGATGAGAGAGGGGGGAGAGAGAGAGTGAGGGGATGAGAGAGGGGGGGAGAGAGAGAGTGAGGGGATGAGAGAGAGTGAGGGGAGAGAGAGAGTGAAGGGGATGAGAGAGGGGGGAGAGGAGAGAGTGAGGGGAGATGGGGAGAGGGGGGAGAGAGAGAGAGTGAGGGGATGGGAGAGTGGGGAGAGAGAAGAGGGGGTGAGAGAGGGGGGAGAGAGAGGAGGTGAGGGGAGAGAGAGGAGGGGATGAGAGAGAGGAGAGAGTGAGGGGGATGAGAGAGGGGGTGAGAGAGAGAGTGAGGGGATGAGAGAGGGGGGAGAGAGGAGAGTGAGGGGATGAGAGAGAGGGGGGAGAGAGAGAGTGAGGGGATGAGAGAGAGAGTGGGGAGAGAGAGAGAGTGAAGGGATGAGAGAGGGGGGAGAGAGAGAGACTGAGAGCGAAGAGGCAGAACAGTGATCACAGTGAGCTGAGGGGCGGGGCGGTGAGTGGAGGGGCGGGGCTTGTAATGCATGGCTCTCTAGGACTGCTCAGAGAAGCGCCGCTCTGTAGGAATGTTTGATGGAGTATGAAGAGGGCCCCACAACGGGTAGAGGTGCAGTGACAGCCTCACATGGGGCCCCTGGAACAAATGGTCTGCCCCTGTATGAAACATGTACTGGCTGGGCCCTCTTTTTAATTGATGGGTCCGGGCTCCCTCTTTATCGGTGGCCCTGACCCCAAGCTCCCTCCTCAGCTCCTCATTGGCTGGTATCCCGGGCTCCCTCCTCAGCTCCTCATTGGCTGGTACCCCGGGCTCCCTCCTCTGCTCCCTCATTGGCTGGTGCCCAGGGCTCCCCTCCTCAGCTCCTCATTTGGACTGGTACCCTGGGCTCCCTCCTCAGCTCCTCATTGGCTGGTACCCTGGGCTCCCTCCTCTGCTCCTCATTGGCTGGTGCCCAGGGCTCCCTCCTCAGCTCCTCATTGGCTGGTACCCTGGGCTCCCTCCTCTGCTCCTCATTGGCTGGTGCCCAGGGCTCCCTCCTCAGCTCCTCATTGGCTGGTACCCTGGGCTCCCTCCTCTGCTCCTCATTGGCTGGGTGCCCAGGGCTCCCTCCTCAGCTCCTCATTGGCTGGTGCAGCGGGCTCTCTCTCTGCTCCATTTTTTCTCTCATTGGCTGGTTCCCCGGGCTCCTTCCTCACCTCGCTCATTGGCTGGTACCCCGGGCTCCCTTCTCCACTCTTCATTGGCTGGTACACGGGCTCCGTCCTCAGCTCCTCATTGGCTGGTACCCCGAGCTCCTTCCTCTGTTCTTCATTGGCTGGTACACGGGCTCCTTCCTCAGCTCCTCATTGGCTGTTACCCCGGGCTCCCTCCTCTGCTCCTCATTGGCTGGTGCCCAGGGCTCCCTCCTCAGCTCCTCATTGGCTGGTACCCTGGGCTCCCTCCTCTGCTCCTCATTGGCTGGTGCCCAGGGCTCTCTCCTCCGCTCCTCATTGGCTGGTACCCTGGGCTCCCTCCTCTGCTCCTCATTGGCTGGTGCCCAGGGCTCTCTCCTCAGCTCCTCATTGGCTGGTTCCCCCCGGGCTCCTTCCTCAGCTCGCTCATTGGCTAGTACCCCGGGGCTCCCTTCTCCACTCCTCATTGGCTGGTACCCCGAGCTCCTTCCTCTGTTCTTCATTGGCTGGTACACGGGCTCCCTCCTCAGCTCTTCATTGGCTGGTACCCCGGGCTCCTTCCTCAGCTCCTCATTGGCTGGTACCCTGGGCTTCTTCCTCAGCTCCTCATTGGCTGGTACCCCGGGCTCCTTCCTCAGCTCCTCATTGGCTGGTACCCCGGGCTCCCTCCTCCGTTCCCTCATTGGCTGGTACCCCGGGCTCCCTCCTCCGTTTCTCATTGGCTGGTACCCCGGTCTCCTCCACCGCTCCTTATTGGCTGGTACCCCGGTCTCCCTCCTCAGCTCCTCATTGGCTGGTGCCCCGGACTCCCTCCTCCACTCCTCATTGGCTGGTACCCCGGGCTCCCTCCTCAGCTCCTCATTGGCTGGTGCCCCGGGCTCCCTCCTCCACTCCTCATTGGCTGGTACCCCGGGCTCCCTCCTCCGCTCCTCATTGGCTGGTACCCCGGGCTCCCTCCTCCGCTCCTCATTGGCTGGTACCCCGGGCTCTCCCTCCTCCGCTCCTCATTGGCTGGTACCCCGAGCTCCCTCCTCCGCTCCTCATTGGCTGGTACCCCGGTCTCCCTCCTCCGTTCCTCATTGGCTGGTACCCCGGTCTCCCTCCTCCGCTCCTCATCGGCTGGTACCCCCGGTCTCCCTCCTCCGCTCCTCATTGGCTGGTACCCCGAGCTCCCTCCTCCGCTCCCCAATAGCTGATTTAATTCCTGTCTGCACTGTTATCAGCTCTGACCAATCCTCCTTTGTGGACTATAGAACCCCTTCCCCCTGTTAGTAAATAAAAGATGAGGTGGGGGTTGGGGTTCCATAGCCCTGTCCTAGGGCGACAACCCCCCCCCCTCCCAGAGATACAGTACAGGAAGTGTTGTCACCCAAGGATAGGAAGTGGATCACTGGATGAGATGAATGCAGCCTCTCCCCCTCCTTCCCTGGATGGGGATATAGGATGACATGTGGGGTGTATGCAGCATATTCTATATACTGGACAGGGAATGGCTGAATCCATTCAGGAGCAGGGGCAGCCCCCACCCTCCACTGAATAAATATACGTATAATAATCAGGCTGAGTTTGCTATGATGCAGATTGTAGAGATAACCCCATGACTGTGAGAGGACCAGGCCTGAAGCACCAAAACAATGACACTTCCCCACACCATGCTTCACAGTTGGTACGATGTTCTTCTGAAATACTGTGTTAGTGGTTGCCAATCATGTCTACGGTTACTGTGACCCAGAATCAGGGTCATGTTTACCGCAAGGCAAACAAGACATTTGCTTAGGGTGGAAGTTTTCAGGGGGGCAGCTGCATTTTTCAAGGGGGGCAGCGCTGTCCCCTGGAAGAAGGGATGGAAGAAGGAACACATGCAGTATGGGGACCAGGTGGGGATCTGAGAGAGGCTGCGGGCTGCTTGATGGTGTATGCAGAGCCCGACTCTTATTCCCGGGGATGTCCAGAGCTGTGAAGGTGAGTGTCTTTTTTTCTCACTGGGATGGGGGGGTGGGTGGCCAGTGTATGGGGGGCGATGGTAGTAGCAGGCTCTCTCAGGTGGGGGCTGGGGTGTTGTTCAAGGTCAGGCTTTGTTCGTGGGGGGAGGGGGGGTGTTGGTCGGTGTCAGGGTCTCTCTGTGGGGGAGGGGGGTGTTGGTCGTGTCAGGTCTCTCTGTGGGGGCGGGGGGTTGGTCGGTGTCAGGGTCTCTCTGTGGGGGCGGGGGGTTGGTCGGTGTCAGGGTCTCACTGTGGGGGAGGGGTGTGTTTGGTCGGTGTCAGGGTCTCACTGTGGGGGGAGGGGTGTGTTGGTCGGTGTCAGGGTCTCTCTGTGGGGGGGGGGGGGTGTTGGTCGGTGTCAGGGTCTCTCTGTGGGGGGGGTTTGGTCGGTTGTCAGGGTCTCACTGTGGGGGAGGGGTGTGTTGGTCGGTGTCAGGGTCTCTCTGTGGGGGAGGGGGGTGTTGGTCGGTGTCAGGGTCTCTCTGTGGGGGAGGGGGGTGTTGGTCGGTGTCAGGGTCTCTCTGTGGGGGAGGGGGGTGTTGGCCGGTGTCAGGGTCTCTCTGTGGGGCGCGGGGGGTTGGTTGGTGTCAGGGTCTCTCTGTGGGGGAGGGGGGTGTTGGTTGGTGTCAGGGTCTCTCTGTGGGGGAGGGGGGTGTTGGTCGGTGTCAGGGTCTCTCTGTGGGGGAGGGGGGTGTTGGTCGGTGTCAGGGTCTCTCTGTGGGGGCGGGGGGGGTTGGTCGGTGTCAGGGTCTCTCTGTGGGGGAGGGGGGTGTTGGTCGGTGTCAGGGTCTCTCTGTGGGGGCGGGGGGTTGGTCGGTGTCAGGGTCTCTCTGTGGGGGCGGGGGGTTGGTTGGTGTCAGGGTCTCTCTGTGGGGGGGTTGGTGGTGGTCAGGGTCTCTCTGTGGGGGAGGGGGGTGTTGGTCGGTGTCAGGGTCTCTCTGTGGGGGCGGGGTTGGTTTGGTGTCAGGGTCTCTCTG